ACAAGGCACCTAATCCTCACTGACTGCCAAAGGCAGGGCTGGAAGATGTGAATTTCTCAGTGAGAATCCTGGTTCTACATTTCATATCTTTGTAAGCATTCAGAATTGACTTTATCACCCTGCATTCAATTTCTCCCCCCATAAAATGACATAGTAGTAATATGACATGTCCTACAGGGATGTTTGAGGCCACTGCATATAAAATGCTCAACAGCACAGTGTCTGACTTGGCACAGAAAATTCACTGTTCAGTATGCTAGCCATCAGCACAACAGAGTTCACATTCTTATGGGAAGACAAATCACAGCCTAGGACCTAAATATAGTACAGCAAAGGCCTTTAATGGAGCTATGAGCAAAATGCTATAGGAGCTCAGATGAGAACGAGTCAGTGAATTCGTGTGCAATCAGTTGTATTGAGTTTTCTCAGAAACGATAATCATGGCTGACAGAGAAGGTGAAAGTCTCAAAAGAGATGATCTCTGAGCTGGGATTCAAAGATTGAATTCACCAATGAGACAAATGCATTTAGGAGTATCCAGTGACAATTCTAGTGCACATGAGCAGCTAGAACAAGTGAAAACCTAGCAGTAAGTAAGTAGGTAACTGGTCCAGACCCATGAGTGGTGTGAGAAACACTGCCAGAATGACAGGTCAGCACTAAGGGTGACCATGGTGGCAGCAACAGAGCACAACGTGATCGAATCTATGAGTTACAGAAATAACTCAACCACATCCTGAAGAACGAAATACATCAAAAAGAAGCTGCAAGCAGGGAGTCTGTTATGAAACTTATTATGGCAGCCTGAAGTGGGGCAGTGGCTATGAGAATAGACAGATGAAGTCAGAGTGAACAGAGGCTTGGTGGTGGGGATAGAAAGCACTTAGCAATCTACTGGACACAGTCGGGGAGGAAGGATGTGGCGATGACTGTGTATTATAACTTTAATAAGAAAAACAGGAAAATAAGCGAGTTTGGGGAGGAAGATAATAAGTCCATATCTATAACTATTAAGTTCAACTTTCTGCAGGAAAAAAAAAATCAAGTGGGGAATTTAAAGTACAATTTCAGCATTCGAGATAGACACATCCAGAATGATGGGAAAAGGGAAGGTAGAAAAAAAAAAGGAAGGAAAATGACACCTCAAAAGCAATCCTTGCATAGTGGCACAACCCAGCTGGTTCTGTGACATAGAACCAGAATTGGTCAGATGGCTCTCCAAAATAGCTCCTCTATCCCAAAACTGCTTCACCTACTGGGCCTACCCTCATGAATTTTCTTACCCCATTCCACATACATTCTCTATGTGCCAGGTTCTGTTCAAGATTTAAGATACAAAGGTGAAATTTCAGAACTTGCTATGAGGAAGACAATAAACAGGGAAGTAAATAAATATGAAATGCAATCTTAAGTAAATCAATAAAATAAGGAAAAAGTGAAGCAGGTATGAAACTGGAGGAGGACAGGATTTGAAATTAGGGTGTAGTACTAGTACTACCCTAATCACGAGGTCAAAAAAATGTATGTCAGAGCACCCGTCTTTGATGAAGTAACATTTTGAACAGAGACCTAAAATGATAGAGAAGAATGTTTCAGGCAGCAAGAAAAGCAACTACAATGACCCTGGGGTAGGACCTGTGCTGGCATAGTTGAGAATCAGCAAGGCAAGTAGCTTGGCTAGAATGGGCCCAAGGGTCAAGCGGTGCATTATGAGGACAGTTCTATACTGCACTGTTAACTAGTAGTATTTGAGATTTGTTCGTGGATGTATAGCCTATATTTTCAACTCTGTGTAAGTCTATTGAGGACAAAGTCTATGGGTAAAGTTCATGGAACACACTAACTAGGCCATAGTAAGAGCCCTTCTCCATTCATTGATCTGCAACTGTGAATGAGGTTCTCTAGTCCTGGCTTGTTGCCCTCTTAACACTGTGGGGCAAATCCCAGATGCTGCTAGCCACTGGCAAGCAACTGGGGTGTTATTTTTGTTGTGGTCAGTAAGAAACCTAGGCTATACCTAGAGCAACAGAGAAAGGCCCTGGCTGTTTACAACCCTAAAGGTTTTTCTTAGAGTCTAATAATGAATACTGAAATATGAGGTAATCCTGCACATGCTCAGAGAAGCTGTTTGCTTTGCCATAATTCTATACTTAAACATTATAATAATATTATTATTATCCCACAGGGGTGTCATGAGAATTAATGAGGCATTTTCAAGTCACTTTGAGCTACTCCATTGGGGGTACTTAATAAATAGTATTTGTTCTTCCTCCAAAGTGCCATTTTTGACAGTGATTTGTTGTGATGGGCTCTGCTGTCCAACTGGGCTGGAAAGCACCCCAACTCATTTCCTACAAACATTAGAGTAGCCTTCAGAAAGCAGTGGTTTTCTGTTAAAATAAATATGAATTGAAGTGAAATAGTCAGCAATCAGAAACAAATAGACTGCTGTTTGAAATCCAGTGTTTATTAAGTACTCAGAGTGATCAGCATAAGGGTTTCACAGTGTGATACAGTAAAGCAAACATTAGATTTGGAAATGGTCCAAGATTTTAGACCCAGCTCTGTTACTAACTAACTATATAAGCTGAGCAAATTTCTAAGCTTCTCTGGGCCCCAAATATAAAGTGGGAGCTGTCCTAAGAAGCTCATAGTCAAAGTCTTCCAGAGAAGAGAGATACATAAAAGGAATGGAAATATTCATTTCTGGAGGAGAGATACTTCAGAGCAGGGAGAAGCTTCTACCCATCCATCATAGGACTATCCTCCGCGCTGGTCTTCCTGGCCATTGATTAATATTAATTTCAGTACTAATTCCTGCAAAGACAGGTATAAATCACCTTCTAAATCAGACAGAGACCTGCATGAAACATTTGGTTTTTAAAAATAGGGTCTTTGCCTTTCTATGAGCTGTCTTTGCAGCAAGTATCTGTCTCATTCTTGGAGCGAAATACATCAATGATTGATTAGACCACTACCCTAGTTACCAGCTCCAATATATATGCATACGTTTGAAGTCATGAGGTGACTGCCACACAATGCATCGTTCTGCAGTCGTGTGAGAGTGTTTCACACTATTGTCCAGTTTTACCATCTCCAACATGTTACTGCCCACAGTGCCCAGCAGTGAGCTGGATATGAGAGGTAGTAAAGAACCTGGGTGATTTTTTGTAACCAGAAAAGCCATCTGGGGAATAACTGAATAACGAACTGAGGTATGATGTGACCTCAGCTTCCCCTTACATCTCATCCCAGAAATCCTAGTGGAGTCCTAGGCTCAAAAAGAAGAAATGTTGCCCCTCCAGAGCAGATAAAAATGTGAAGACTCACTTATGGAATTCAATGAAACAAATACATCTGAGTTACAGCTATTTCTAAGGCAGTTGACAGCTGGTAAGAGTATAAGTTGGTAAGACCGGTCTTCTACCCTAGGGAGCCTTGTGGTTGACAGTGGTGGTGTGAGGCAATGTTTGTAAATCATTTTACTTCGAAGTGACTCGTGAGCTCATTTCGGATGGAGTTGTCTAGACAACTGTTCCCTTTGTAAGCGATTCGAGTGATGCAGTAGGCTGTAGATTCTGTAAGCTTAAGACTCACTCACACTGGACTGTTAAAATTCCTGGAAACGGAAAGTTGAAGAAACATTTGAAGTTCCAAAGAGATGAATAGGGGAATATGGGGTCGGGGATATGAGGCACAGAGTCCGTGCGGCATGCGTGAGAGAGTAAGTTCGAGTTCAGGTGAGAGGGGAGAGAGAGAAACAGAGACAGAGACACAGAGAGACAGAAACAGAGAGAGACAGAGACAGAGAGAGACAGAGACAGAGACAGAGACAAAGAGAAAGAGAAAGTGTAAGTACCAAGCTACAGAGACACGGGCAGCAGACTGCTCTCCCGCCTCAGCAACTGGAATCCAGCAAATTTCCTGCCACAAGGGTGATGGCAGTGTAGAGTGTAGGTATAGGTCCTGCTTCTGTCCCTCCAGGGACAGATGCCAGTCATACAGTTGAGCTTTCTACTCCCACAAACTAAACATGAATTCCCTTTGCCATTTTCCTCACACTTTCCACCCACAGAAAAGCTCCGTGCACTATAACGACCAGGCTGCCCTACCCGAAGCTTGTCCCTGAATCTGCCTGGTGTGAACTATTCCTTATGGCAGCTAGGCGCCCGAGCGTCGGGGAGACAGCTCCTTCAGCCTCTAGAGGAGGACACCCATCAGCCCCCATCACTCTGCTCCGCTCATCCAAGCTCAATTATTCAGAGCACGCATCCCTGGTCCTGGAGAACCGCGCCCCTCAAGGGAGCTCAGGGGCTTCCCCCACCCCAGAGCGGCCACCTGGTGGGTAGGTCTCCCGAGGGCCAGCTCCGCGGGGAGGGTCCTGGGGCCGAGGGGTGCAGCGTGCTGGCGCTTGGGGACCCCCGGTGGCCCGGAGCGCGGACCCCAGGTCCCGGGTTCCCCGGGAGGCAGGCGCGCGCCCGCGGTGGGCGGGAATCGCGGGGGACGCGGAGGGGCGGGC